CATGCATTCATGCAAGTGCAGAAAAGAAAGACTGACCAATTAGGGCTTTTATGTCTTCTTGCTGAGGGGGAGGAGAGAGGGAGGGATGAGGAGCAGCAGCAGCAGCAGGAGCAGCAGCAGCAGCAGCAGAAGGTACTTCCTTATTAGGTAATTCTTTATATAAGGAGAATAATAAGGAAAACAAACAAACATAACAAGAAGCAAATAAATAAATAAATAAATAAATAAATAATAATATATTTATTTATATTAATAAATTAATAACAATAAAAGAAGATTAAATAAATAAATAAATAAAAATAATATATTTATTTATATTCATAAATAAATAACAATAAAAAAAGAAGAAAGTTGCATGCATGCATGCATGCATGCATGCATGCATACAACCAATGTATAATTAACTAACCCTTTCTTGTTTTCTTGGTAAGACGAGGACGATTTGCTGCTGCTCCTGCTGTTCCTGCTGCTGGTGCTGCTGCTGGTGCTGCTGGTGCTGCTGCTGCTGCTGCTGTTGAGGGTTTAGGGTTTGCTGCAACTTTACGTCCTTTTGTTGTCTTTTTCCCTGCAGGTTTTGCTGCTGCTGCTGCTGCTGCTGTTGCTGCATTCCGTTTACCTGTATAGCCAGCAGCAGCAACAAGAATCGTCACTCCTCCATATTACAAACAAAGCAGCAACAGCAGCAGCAACAGCAGCAGCAACAGCAGCAGCAACAACAGCAGCAGCAGCAGCAGCAGCAGCAGATTGTTGTGCTGCACTATTTATTTATAATATTAAGGGAAAGCAGCTCACCAGTCTTCGCCGTGGCCGCCATTATGCTGCAGACTACAGTAGCCAATTAAATATAATTAATTAATTAATTAATTAATATATTATTATATTAATAAATAGTAATATATTAATTAATTAATTAGGGAGGTAATAAGAAAGAATGCTGCTGCTGCTGCCTCTCTCTCTAGTTCGATTGCGCCAATGCTGCTGCTGCTGGTGCTGCTGCTACGATAAGAGGGAGAAACAAAAGAAAGACAGGGAAATAAATAACTAATTAATTAAATAATTAATAAATAATTGATAAAATACATCAAAAGGAATTATTTAGGGAATAATTCATGAAGAAATACAGCACATTATCTATATATAGGACCCTCCTTGTTTCCTGCGCGCGCCTATGTATGTATATATGTATATATAACCACTTATTATGTACAGGGAAGAAAATAAACCTTCTATTTATATTAATTAAAACCTTTTTTCTTATTAATTTTTATACAAAATAAATAAATAATGATTCTTTTTTGTAGGAAAAGGGGGGCTTGCCTCCTCCCTCTTACTGCCAGCTATCGACTGCCTCTCTCTCCGTCCGCTCTCGGTGGTGACCACTGGACTGGACGCACCAGGGTAGTACAGACTAGCGAATAAGAGGATATGTATTCATTAAATAAATAATATATTATTTTATTTATTTATTTAAATTAAAATATATAAAAATAGAAGAATAATAATAGGTTTATAGCTTTATTTACTATATATATTCAGGGTTTCTTTGCCCTCTCCCTTATATAACTGCATAAAGGTACTAAGAACCTTGATAACGCAGAGAAGAAAGAAGACACTTCCTTTCTTCTTAGCAAAATACACAAAATATATTTATAATTATATATTTATATAAAAACAAAAAAAAAGAATAAAAAGAAAGGGGAATCCTCCTATAGTTGTATAGACAGGACTCGCCAGCTCTGTTGCTGCTCTGCTGCTAGTCTCGACACACAGCACGCTAATAAGCATGCATGCATGCATGCATATAGAGGCGTTATTTTAGCAAAAATATTACTTAATTAGTAAATATAATTGTTATTTTGTTTATTTTATTACATTATTATGCATAATCATGATAAATATTGTCTAAATATTGACTAAAGATGAAGGTTTCCTTGCGCAGGACCTGCACAGTATAAGAAATAAGGAAGGAAATCATCACTTATTCATCAGTAAAGGAATAAAAATGTATAAATTGAACAAAATATATTCTTTTTCTTCTTTATTTGTTCTTTTTTGTACTTTTTATTTGTTTTTTTTATTTATTTTTCTTATTTTTGTTGCTAATTCATGTACGGCTGTTGTTTGCCGGTGCAATAACTCAACAACAATAACATTATAGATACAAAGTCTTCTTATTAACAATTAAATAATTAAATAATTAAATAATTAATAATTAAATAATAATAATAATAATATATTATTAATTAATAAATAATTATATAATTAAATACAAAGTATTATGTATATTTATTCATCTTTTCCCCATCAACTTATGTATAAGATACACATATATACAAATATTTATTATTCTTTTCTTTTTTCTTTTCTTTTTTTGTTTATTTATATAAATATATAAATAAATAATATATATAAATATATTAATTATATTATTATTCTTTTATTTAGGCACAACCAACAAGTCATAGAATAGTTGTTCGTTATGCATAGTTGTTGGTTATAAAAGGGTTTAGGGTTTAGGGTTTAGGGTTTAGGGTTTATGACGATAAACATACCCGCATGCATACACAACGAGGGGCAAGAAGTTCCTTTTATTCTTTTATATTATTTTTTTTATATATTTATTCTTTTTTTCTGTTAATATACAGCCAACAATAACAACAAACTTCTTCCTTATGCAATAAGAATGAGCAACAACCCCACCAAGTAACACACTACCCAACCCCTGTGTTATTACCTTAGCATATATAAACCCTAAACCCTAAACCCTAAACCCTAATTATACACAAACAAACATAAACCCTAAACAATTATCGTGCATTGTTTGCTATATAGACAAGAGCAGCAGCAGCAGCAGCTGCTGCTGCTGCTGCTCCTCCTTATGAGTGTTGCATGCATAGAGCAGCACAACCAAGCAAAGAAGGAGGGAAAAAGAATACAAGAAAAAAAAAGAACCTATAATTAATTAAATTAATTATAATTATTAATATAATTTATTTATTATATTAATAAATAAAAAAAATAAATAAATTATTCTCTTCTTTTTTTTTCTTTATGTATAATTCCCTATAAGGAGAGGAAATATTTATGAATTTCTTCTTCTTAGTCTAAGACTGAGCAGCTGCTGCTGCAGCAGGAAGGAATGCTGCTGCTGCAGCAAGCTGCTGCTGCTGCTGCAGCAGGAAGGAATGCTGCTGCTGCAGCAAGCTGCTGCTGCTGCTGCAGCAGGAAGGAATGATGCTGCTGCAGCATATATGCTGCAGCAGCAGCAGCATTCTCTCCTGGTGCTCTTGTAGCATGCAGCAGCCCCCATCCTCCTCCTGTTTATTTATTTACTTAATTACCCCTAATATGTTTATTGTTACTAAGTACTCCCTCTGTTATCCATTAATGAATATAAATATACACAATTATTGTTATTTATATACAAATTAATTAGTTAATTAGCTAGTATTAATCCTCCTCCTTACTAAGGAAGAAGAAGGATGGCTGTGTTCCCCTCTAGATAAACAACATATATACTCATAAATTAATGAATAATTGCATGCATAAAAAGCCCCAAAGTTATACATAAAGAAAAAGAAGACTAATAAGGCGTCTGGTTAAGGGAGTATTACTATGCATGCATGCAGCAACGGAGAGGCAATAAGGGGTATTTCTCTTCCTTCTTTCTCTTTGCTGTGGAGCTTTGTTGGTAAATAAAAGGCAAATAAATATTATTAATTATAAATTAATTAAAAAGTACTTCTTATTCATGAATGTGCTCATCTCTTTGCTGCACTCGAGGTGTATACAGACTGTGGGGGGGTTAAGGGAGTTATTCTCTTATACTTTGCGGAGAATTAGAGGATAATTAAATAGAAAAGAATACTAATAAATGCAAAAAAGTCATAAAATAAGTTAGCAAAGTAAATAAAATAATAAATAAATAAAAAAGCCGTGCTATGCAAGCTGCATCCCGTCTATGCTGTGGGCCAACCAGTACACTACCCAGGAACGGAGAGGTAGATTAGGGGTTAAATAGGACTATTTATAGGTAAATTATTTATATTTAATTATAAATATACATAAAAAGAAAAATTACTATGTTTTTTTGCCTAAATATAGGTGGGGTCGTGAATAAGCCAAGGGAAGGGAGGGGGAGGCGGAGGAGGAGGAGGAGCAGAAAGCTGGATGTATTCCTCCCTTTGTTGTAGGTAAGGGGAGCGCGACGGGTATTGAGTAAATGGGGAATATTTCTTTAATAAATATAGATATATTTAGATAATAATTATAAATAAAAAGATATAAAAAGAATCTGCACCAATTAATACACTATTATCTTATAGTTACCCTACAAGATAAGGATGGATGGGTGTGATGGATTGGGTACACAGATGCAGGAAGTTGAATTGTTGGCATAAAGGATGAATATGTTGCTATTTATTCATAAATATACATAATTAATATAAAAATAATTAAGAATAATAAATAAAATTAATAAATAAATGATAATTTATCCATAAATTCATCATAAAATGATGAATTTATATTTATATTTACCTAGTAGGGAGCTGGCTGTTGTTGGCTGCTGCTGCTCCCTCATGGCCTGCAGGTACATCATCATGAATAAGTAATAAAGAACAAAAGAATAAAGAAAAAGGTAAATAAAACAAATAAATAAATAAATAAATAAAAAAGAATAATAAATAAAAAAGAATAATAATAAATAATAAATAAATATACAATATATATATCCATATTTACCAGTTTCCTTCCCCACAGCAGCAGGTGGTGCTGCTGCTGCTGCTGCTGCTGCTGCTGCTGTTGTGCACTGCAGCAGGCGGATGATGATGGACTCGAGTGCGTGTTTGTATTTATAAGTTATAAATTTAGCTATATAATTGTTGTAGGAGTATATATTTTGTTGTATAAATAGTATATACATATAAATATCTGTATATACATCTTATAATTCCTTTTTTTTTCCTTCTTTTTCCTACAACATAAATAGCTGAATAAGGATGAGGCTTACGGCGGGTATTCTTATGGCCCTAGTGGCTCTTATGCAGTGCAGCAACACTTTTCTTCCTGCAAATGCAGAAGGAGAGAAACTATTAGATGTAGCAGCAAAAAAAGCAGTAGAGGAATCTGTTGCTGTTCCTGTTGGTGAGTTATGGCGGGATATATACAGCTTACTAGTTCGTCAGAAGGGAGCGGAGGCAGCAAGACGTTTACGCTATCTGGTAAGGAAATTGAATAAGAATTCATGTATAATTATTCAATAATATACCATAATCTTTCATATATTATATATTATTTAGGTCTATTTTATATATATTTACTATTTTATACATAAATTGTTGCATATTATACATATTTATATCCATATCTTTTCCCCTCTTTATTGTTCCCCCCTCTGCTCCCTCCTCCCCATAGTAGTATACCACCATTAATCCATGAACATATGCATAAAATAGATGAATAAAAAGGTAATTAATAATAAAATAAGTATATTTATGTGTATTTTTTCTTCAGTTATCTGGTATAACGGGCAGAAATGATCCATTGGACTTAGCAAAGTTTATTATGGATAAGATAAAGAGGGAAGTATTCAATAATCGTGTTAATAAAAGAACATGGGAATGGCTTACCATGGAATTATATGAAGTATTAAAAGAATGGTGGCAATTAACACCAGAAAATCCAAGAGATTCTGCAGATATAGGTACATGGCAAGCCTTAATAAATCTACAGAAAAATACTATGGGTCCTGCACTAAGAGGAAGCAATAAGATTGGTGCAATTAACGATTTACTCCTTGACCCTGAACTTGAATTAATTCGAAAATGGGTGAGTGAGTGGAAGGGTGCACCTATGCCTCGTAATAAGGACGATTAAGAAAAAAAATTTTCTTATAAATATTATTCATTAATTAATTATATTAATTATATTTATTTATCTAAATATACTCATTAATATATTATTCTGCTCCTCTTTCTCTAACGAATTAGATTAATATATATTTATATATATGGGATATGAGCAGCAGTAACAATAATTATAATTATAATATAAACAACAAGAAGAAAGAAGAAAAAAAGAAATAAAGGAAGAAGAAATAATAATAAATAAATATATATATATATATAATA